CCAATACAACAGTAAAAAGATTGAGGTTATAACACCGATGATTCAACCGACCCAACTAGCAGCCAAAATAATCACCCGGGCACAAGAGAAAAAAAATATTATCCCTGACTGAAGACACAACGGTGTCAATATTTAAGGAGGCACTACTTAAGGACAACTGGCTCCAGGCTAACCAAAACACTTGTTTACTCAAAGATGGACTGGCTTGGGTAGAAAACAAATTTTATGTCCTTGCAAGCCAGAGAATGGACATCATGAAACGCTGCCACAAAATAGCAAAATAGCAGGACATTTTGAGTTTGTAAAAACTCTGCACCTCATCAAAAGACAATTTTGGTGGCTGTCTCTCAAAAAGGGCATTGAAAGCTATGTTGCAAGCTGCCCCACCTGTGCTGCTGCAAAGAGAAGACAAGGAAAATATCCTGGACTTTTACAAACAGTAGCAGACCCTTTTGCTCCCTGGAAAGAGGTCTCTATGGACTTTATAGTGAAGCTTCCCGAAAGTGCTGGAAACACTGTTATTTGGGTTGTAACTGATCTTCTTTCCAAACAGGTTCACTTTATTCCATGCCAAAAGATCCCAACTGCCAAGGCATTGGCAAAGATGTTTCTGATACACATCTATCGCCTTCATGGAGCTTCCCAATGGATTATCTCAGATAGGGGTGTTCAGTTCACATCCAAATTTTGGTGGGCATTTTAAAACCTATTAGGCTCCACCCAGGGGTTGTTGTCAGGAAATCACCCCCAAATGGACGGATCAAAGGAGAGAGTGAACAGCATATTAGAACAATATTTAAGATGTTTTATTAGTCACCAACAGGATAATTGGACTGACCTTCCATTTGCAGAGGTAGCATACAATAACTCAGTCCATAGTAGCATGGGGTTCACCCCATTCCAGGTAGCCATGGGCCAAGAATTCAACCCCATTCCGGAACTACCCACCAAAGATCCTGAAATCCCCTCCCTTAAGGAGTGGATGGATAACTTACAAGCCGTGTGGCCAGTGGTAAGATAATCTTTACAGGAAGCTAGAGCAGTTTACAAAACTCATGCAGACAAAAAACATTGTGAACCTAAACCTTTCAAGATTGGGGACTGTGTATACTTGTCCACAAAATTCTTAAAATCATTACAACCCTCTAAGAAATTAGGACCAAAATTCATTGGCCCTTTCCCCATCTCCAGAATTATTAACCCTGTAATGGTAGAGCTTCAACTTCCCAAAACACTTAGGCAGATTCATCCAGTATTTCACTGTAGCTTGATCAAACCAGAGATCACTTCAAACCTCAGACCCCCCCGCCTTCCCACAACTGCAACCCCCATCATGGTACATGGGGAACAATATTTTGAAATTAAAGACATCCTTGATTCACGCACTCACCGTGGATCCACACAATATCTAGTAGCCTGGAAACACCTTCCTTCTTCAGAAAATGAGTGGGTAACCAAACATGTAAAAGCACCCACATTACTACATAAGTTCTACCCAAAATACCCTGATAAACCATCCTGAATTGCAAATGTAATGCATGATTTTTTTTTTCAGGTAGACCTCTCTGTTTTTTAAGGAGGGCAGGATGTCAGATCCGTGTATCTATCATTTCTTCAGTGGAAGAAGAAGGGGGGGGGCTGATAAAGAAATCCTTTCTTGATGTAACCTGAATATATTTAATCTTATTGAATTTGTATAACCAACACGTGATACGATGGAGGGAGAAAAGCCAGATGGCCAGAACTATCACCTCTGTGAGGCACAACCAGAAGATGAGAAGGTCATAAAAATTCCACAGTGAGATTGTACTTTGGGAATCTCTTGAATAGTTCATTCTAAAGACAGGGTTGGGGGGAAATTAGGCATGCCCTGGGAAACTGTGAAAAGATCATTCCTTACAAGAGGGGTGGGGAGGAATTAACATACTGGCTTTTGTTTCACTAAATACACATCGAGATAAGGGAAGGGGTTCTAAACTCCCTTATGTATCCCTGTAGGCTGAGAGACCCCAGACGCTGCTTTGAACTCCTACTGTCTAATCTCAATAAAGAATTCCTTTGTGATATGTTTGGATATGTTTTCAGAAGTTCATTCTAGTTGAGTGAATGGGAAAAGTTCTGTAGCCTGACACTGGCTTCCCCATTGATTTTGCTTGTCAGAAGGTTACAAAAAGCAATCACATAACACTGCAAACCTTCATAAATATGAGTCAATTGCCAAGCATCTGAATTGTGATCACATGACCATGAGAATGCAATGGTTGTAAGTGTGAAAAATGGTCATAACTCCCTTTTTCCCGGTGCTGTTATAACTTTGAATGGTCACTAAATAAACTGTTGCTAAGTGAAGGACTACCTGTACAAATTTCCTTTATTTTCTGATTGCATTTTAAGAAGGAGTTTGAAACATAATTATATATGGTCATTACAATAATAAATCTAATGGTGTATGTGCTGTATGTGCCATTCGTCAAGAAGTCATTGCTCAGTTTAGTTGGTTTTGATAATTATAAAACAGTCTCCAACTTCTTCTTTCTGGAGAAAGTTGTGGATCAGCAGCTATAAAAGGCCCTGGAGCTCACAGATTATCAGTATTAGTTTCAAACTGGGATCAACCAAGGATATTAAACCAAGACCACATTGATTTGCTATTCTAAAATCAGATTAAGGGGCATGCAGACCTCCTGATTCTAAGTGACCTCTCAGCTGTCTTTTGGACCACCTCCAGGAGATAAGCATGGGAAAATTGTTTGGCTATAGTTCCCATCATTCATCAGGGACAAGTTTCAGAAAACCTTCTCTTTGGAAACAGGATTCCATCATACTCAGGTTTCCATCATATCCCAAATGAACTCTGCTGGCACTTAGAAAACCCACTAACCACTGACTGTTTCAGAAAGCCTTTGGAGCCTGATAAAAAATAGGAAATGTGTTGTTATTGAGTGTGTCTTTCCTCAGAATGTTACTGAATATGATGCCTATCACCACAACTGTCTGTTTAAGACTTAATTTTTTTATTGCATTGTATTAGAGTAGTTGTCACTTAAAACCAACTGGTATTGAATCTGGTAAAAAACCAACTGGTATTGAACTTATTAGTCTAAATACATAAATAAAGGATTGTTAAATGAGCACATTTTAATCAGGCAAAAGAAATCATTTACTGAGTGGAATGAAAGAATGAATGAATGAATGAATGAGTGAGTGAGTCAGTCAGTCAGTCAGTCAGCCATCAACCACAATAGGAAAAAGTGGGCACTGGATACAGATACTGAAGTTACAATCTTATCAATAGTTTCCTGGGGTACAGCCCATTTGTTTCATAAGATTCTATCTGTGTGACTATTTAAAACCTCACAGAAAATAGGTCCAAACACATACATTTGGCTCCTCCCTTCCCTGATATCTATGTATTTAGCTGGGAAGTCTATAGCATCAAGGTAACCACAGTCACTTGTTCACGTGATCTGGGACTTTAAATCCAGAGTTGTGTAGGAAATTGTACCGATATACAATTACATCCACTATTGCACATCTACTCTCTACACAGTCTAAACCTGAGAACTTAAAGAGGTGAACCTAACTATTGCAACATGCTCTACATGGGGCTGCTCTTGAAGATTATCCAAAAGTTTCAACTGATGCAAAATGCAGTGTCCTGCATGGTTTTATGCAGACCCTGGTGTGCACATGTATCTCCTCTCCTGCAGGAGTTGCATTGGTTGGTGATTTGCTTCTGGGTTGTCATCTTTAAAGCCTGGCTTGGGACCAGGGTATCTGAGAAACCGTCTCTTGCTGGTCATATCTACTTGACCCATCAAAGTGGGGAGGCAGGGAATGTTGCTGGTCCCATCCCCTAAGGAGATACACCTGGTGGAACCCAGAAGAAGGACCTTCTCTGTGATAGGTCCCTCTCCCTGGAACATCATTCCCCCAGAGATTAGAATGGCCCTCACTCTAATACTCTTCTAAAAGGTGCTGAAGACCTGGTTCTGTCAGCAGGCCTGGGGAACCCGGAGTGGGATGGAGAACATTAAATGGCTCATGTGATCTGCTGTCACCGGGGTGGGGTGGGGGTGATTTTCTTATATTATATTAATTTATTTTATTAGTTTTATTGTTTTAAATGAAGTTTTATATTCTGTTAGCCACTTTGAATTGCCATGGGCAAATAGGCAGCAATATACAATCAATCAATCATTCAAGCATCCCATCCTGTGTTAATTTAAAATGTTCATGAATACAGCTAACTGCTAGAAGTGATATTTAGACTACTAAATTATCATCAATAGCTCAGTGAGGCTAAAGGAAAAAGTAATAGTTTATTCCATTAATTGTTAAAATCTATATTATTTTTAAATTTGTTAGTTGATACCATAAATTTCAAGTCTTCAATGCTTTATTCTGAGCAATTCCCTATTATTTAATTCAGGTTTTACTATAATAATATAGATTTTTGGAAGAAAAATACAAATCAGTAGGCCAGCACTGGAAGCCAGAATGGAGAAGATCTCCACAGCCACCATATATTTTCCCTTGGTACTTAAATAAGCTGGGAAAAAAGACAATGAAACAGTGCAGAATATTAGCATGCTGAAAGTGATAAACTTGCCTTCATTAAAAGTATCAGGCAGTGTCCTGGCTAGAAAAGCTACTATGAAGCTCACAATAGCCAAGAAACCCATAAAGCTGAGGACACAGTAAAACATGAAATTTGAGCCTTCATTGAATTCTAATAAAATTTCTTCAGGCACAGAATGCATGTCAAGATCTGGGAATGGAGGAGCAACAACCAACCATGTTATATAAATAATTATTTGAAGAAAAGAGCAGGAAAAAACAATGGAGTTGGCCAAGGGTTTCCCCACCCGCTTCCTCATTTTGGAATTTGGCTTAGTGGCTTTAAAAGCTAGAACCACAATTACAGTTTTAGCTAAGATACATGACACAGCTATTGTAAAGATGATACCAAAAGCACTTTGTTGAATAAGACACAACACCTTCTCAGGCTGGCCAATGAACAGTAAACCACAAAGAAAAGAGAGCAAGAGAGAAACAAGGAGAGTATAAGTGAGATTTCTGTTGTTGGCTTTGACAATGGGAGTATCTTGGTACTTTATGAAAATTCCAAGCACCAATGCTGTGATTAAAACAAATGAGAGTATAAGAATGGTCAAATTAATCCCTAAAGATTCTTTGTGTGACACATAGATAATTTTTTTCAGAAGACATCCATCCTGTCCATGATTTGGAAATTGACCTTCTGGGCACTGAATGCAATCATCCATGTCTGAAAAAGAATTAATGTTTAGTATCAATATGTGATATTGCCAAAGTCCTAAAAAAAATCAATTAAGATGCATCCAAGAGACAAGTTTAGCCTTTTCCATCACAGAATTATCTTGTTAACTGGGAAGTATTGCTTTAGAAATGGGAATGTTTAGTAACCCAATTGTATAAGTCACTACCATATATCTGAAAGACTGGAGGAGGGAGAAATTATGATTTTTTTATAGAACATTCTTGATATTTTGTTCTGTCTGTTTTATATGTAATGCATCTAAATTATTTGTGTAACCTGGTTTTTTTAATAGTTTTAACAATTTACATAAAACAATTCCATGCATATCAGATGTTATATAGGACTATATCTTCATCTGCAAATGCTACCATTATGATTTAACTGAACAACTATTAAAATACAAGGTCAGTTTTGCACCTTACATATATCTATCAATATTGTGTGAGGGGTGGGGAAGGAAGGAGGGAAAGAGAGAATATTTGTGGTCAATAACCAGAAAACAAAACTTAGTTTTCAAGACAGTGTTGATTTTTGGTGAAGTAGTAAAGATTGGTTTGTCATTGCCTTCTTCCCAAGACTAGAGAGTCAATGTCACCTAGCTGATTTCATACTTCCATATAAGGTGGGATTAGAGCGCATAGTCTCCTAGATTCTATCCTGGTGCCTTAACCACCATATCAAATTGGTTCTCATATTTATATCTTGATCTATCTCAGTATTACACAAGAAATATTTCTGACCCATCAATACATTAAGAGTCTTACCCTCCTGATTTGAAACCTTCCCTTTTGGACAAGGAAAGCAGTCATAGCAGCAAAATGGCAGCGCTTCCCTTTTTCTCTTACTAAGTCCTTTAAAGCAGTTGTCATTGCATATTGAAACAGGGCATGACTAAACATAAAAAATAGAAAGGCATCGTTTAAACCATGATAGATGTATCTAAATTCATGTTGCAGGGGAAAATGACTAGTTAAATATAAGGTGTTACAAGATGCAAAAGAAAGTTGAGGGATGGACTTACCAGATTTTAATGTGTATGTGGCAGCTTGCTGTTTGTTTTGGATGAAAGGAAGGTTGTTACTGAGAAATTTGTAGTTAGAAGGGCATAATTTAAGATTTGGGTGGCACAGGTATCTATGGTACGATAAAGCTAAGTTTAATGTAAATATTAAAAATAAGTTTGTTAGATTTACTGAGAAAGAGAAGTAATATAAACCTGCTTTAAAATACCTTTGTAGCTCTCAGCATAGGAAGCATTTGTAGACAAGAAATGCATACTAAGTGGTTGACTTACTTTGATATATCAGAATTTTATCAAAGAAAATGTAGAGTAACAGCAGAAGAAAAAGTGGTGGTAGGAGAATGCTCATGTCAATGGGTTTCATATGTTTAGTTTAGTTTAGTTTAGTTTATTGTCATTGCATCTCGTACAACGAAATCAAACACCATCTTCAGTTCACATTATGATCATGAAAACAAACACAAACACATATCCTTCACCTTTCACACATTGAACCGGAAACCCCTGACACCACACCAACACTGCACCAACACAGCAGAATTAAAAAGAGCTACTGCCCTGGGATAGAAGCCGTTTTCAGCCTATTTGTCCTTGTTTTTATTATTCTGTACTGTCTGCCAGATGGTAATAGTTTAAAAAAAAGGGCTCCCATGATGAGATGGATCTTTAAGAATGTTTTGAACTTTCTTAAGGCAGCGGGAGCTATAAAGTTCTTCCAAAGAGGGGAGAGGGCAACCAATGATCTTCTGGGCAATGACATTAACCCTCTGGAGTGCTTTCCTATCTGCCACTGTGCAATTGGCAAACCATACAGAGGTGCAGTATGTTAAAATGCTCTCTATGATGCAGCAGTAGAAGGTCACCAGCAGTTTTTCATTAAGTTGTTGTTTTCTGAGAAGTCTCAGGTAGTATAATCTCTGCTGGGCCCTTTTGACCAGGTCTGCAATGTGAGCACCCCAGGTCCTCTTTTAGGGTAACATCCAGAAATTTAAAACTGGCCACTTGCTCTACTCAGTCTCCATTGATAAGCAAGAGCTGGATGTCTGATCTGTTCCTTCTATAATCCACTATAAGCTCCTTGGTCTTATTGATGTTGAGGACCAAGTTATTGTCTCCATACCACCAAAGCAACCAGGCCACCACATCTCGGAGTTGGAATGCAGTCATGTACATAAAGAGTATAGAGTAAGGGACTTAACACGCAACCCTGTGGTGTACCAGTGTTAATAATAAGGGCTGAAGAGGTGTGATTACCTAATCTGACCTTCTGTGAGTGGCCAGACAGGAAATCCATCATCCAAAACAGATTGAATTAGAATGCCCAAGGTCCAGAAGCTTAGACAATATTCTATGTGGAAGAATTGTGTTAAACACAGAACTAAAATCCAAAAAAGCATCCTCACATACCCCCCTCCCCCGCTGTTCTTGATGAGTCAGAGCAGTGTGAAGCGTGATGGCTATAGCATTCTCTGTAGATCTATTTTTTTCTGTATGTAAACTGGTGTTTATCAAATGTATGCGGAAGACCAGAAATGATGTACTGGCAGACCAATTTCTCAAAGCACTTCATGATGGTAGGAGTGAGTGCCACTGGTCTGTAATCATTGAGGTTATTGATAGGGAACTTCTTTGGCAGGGGAGCAATGCTGGAAGCCTTCAAACAAGATGGAATAGTGGACTGGGATAAAGACCGATTGAAGATCCTGGAAAAGACTCCAGCCAACTGATCAGCACAATCTTTAAGCACTCGGCCAGAGATACTGTTAGGACCGGCAGCCTTTCTAGGGTCCACAGCCCTCAGAATGCTCCTTACCTCCTGTTCCTCCACAATGAGGTGGGGGCTACAATTGGCTGGTAGTTGTGTTTTATCTGTCTCTGATGTCTCCACTTCAAAGTGAGCAAAGAAATTATTCAGTTCCTCTGCCAATGAAGCATCCCCTTCAGCAGGGATGACATTGGTTGGTTGATGGTTTGCAATTTGTTGAATCCCTCGCCACACCTGCCTCATGTTATTGCTATAAAAATTATCCTCAATCTTCCTCTTATAATCAATCTTGACCTTCCGAATACCTTTCTTTAAATTAGCTCTGGCAACACTGTATCTTGCCCCATTACTGGACCTAAAGGCCTTGGTCCTGTCATGCAAGAGGCACTGGACTTCCTTGGTCATCCAGGGTTTCTGATTGGGATAGATCCTAATACATTTATCCACAGTGATAGTATCTGTGCAGTATTTGATATAGCACAGAATGGTTGCAGTGTGCACCTCTAGGTCAGGGTGGTAAAAGATGTCCCAATTTGTGTTCTCAAAACAATCCTGAAGTTGTTGAGAAGCATCTTCTGGCCAAGATTTCACTGTCTTTATTATAGACAGAGCCCGTCTCCTAAGAGTGGGATGTAAGTTGGTGCTAAAAGCAGTGACATATGGTCTGCTTGTCCCAAATGGTAATTGTATAATCTTACAGCCATTTTTGATGTTGGTATATATTTTGCCCAATATGTTTCCTCCTATGGTAGCACACTTAACATGCTGACAACAATGGCTGTCTACATTCTTTGTACTGATACACCAGCTTTTGTTCACATAAAGGCTTAAACTTCCCCCTTTGATCTTGCCAGAATCTCTAGTCCTGTCCTGCCAGTGAGCTATGTAGCCTTCCAGCTCAACAGCTGCATTTGGAATGAGTGAATGAAGCCAAGTTTCTGTGATTAGCAAAACACAGCAGTTCTTGATGAATTAGTCTTTGTAATCTGTAGCTTTAATTCATCCATCTTGCACTGGTAAGAAATATACTTGGAATCAAAGGCTTGTGTGAAAATTTACTCAGCTTAAAGAAAACCCCAGCATGGCATCCTCTCTTCCTCTTCCTCTTCTTTCTCCACCTTTTCCTCCTTCCCACAGGGATAGTGATCCATGGGTCCTCCAGGGGCCTAGCTGCCTCCTTCGGTATGTTGTGAGAATGTATAAAATCATCCATGATAGCCTTTTCACGTTTCAGTCCAATTTGTAACATGGCTTGCTGATTATAGATGCTCCTTGCCCCACAGGATTCAATCAAGGAAAGGATCCAAAACACACACAGAATCATACACACCATATACTGAAAGAAGGAGCAGTTAGCCACAGCATCCATGTGCGCAGCCATCTTGAAAACCCTTTACAGTTAGTGAAGTATGTACAGTTAGTAGAAAGATCTAAAGTAGATAAAAGAACTTTTTGGTCTGAGCAATGTAAGGCTGAATGTGAAATGGAATTTCCAACACAAACTTCATCTGCACCATAACTCACTCTCCTTAATCATAGGACTGGCTCTGAGCAAACCAGGTTTTTTTTTTCCTTAGGTGAAAAGTTTTAGAAATCCAGAACAAATGCATTAACCCATACCTGATTGAACTTGCTAGGCCATACAATATTATTCTCATCAATGATGAATGATGTATTTTATGACATATGTGGATCTATCTTTCCAACTTTGACTCTAAGAAAAGATTCGTTTGGGAATGTCCTCCAGTTGATAATATCAAATGCAGCTATTCTTTCACCATTTTGGTCAAAGGAAATCTTTTCTCCAGCACTGTTGTTAAATGAAACTTTTCTTAGAAAGTGATGTAACTAAGATAGAAAGATAGAAAAATCTTAAGGATAACTATTTAATTCTGTAAGTGAGGCATGTGCTATTTTTAAGAAGGAAGGGAGGGAGGGAGAGAGGGATGGTGACACAGACATGTGCAGGAGTTACAAGCTACAAACAGGGATGATCAATTATTTTATTAACCATGTATTGGGTATCAATAGTATAACAGCATTACTGAATCTTTCATTATTAACTTTGCTATTCTTTTTATTAAGGCTGTGCAAAACATTGAAGAGATACTTTCTTTTGTTTATGCTTTGAGTAAAAAGCCCATTTTGAAACCACAGAAAGAGTATTTCATTTCTAAAGAGTATAACAAACCTTCCATATTGCTCTGTTTTGTATCTTTCTGACAGATTTTCCAGTTGATTAGCTTTCAGGATGGGGTATTTTAAGAGTTAATCTAGAGTTGAATTGACCTTGTCATAATATAATCTACTGCAGCTATCATGGCATTGTTGAACCAAAACTCTCCATGTCTACAAAGGTATCTAAGTTGGTATAGATACCAAATCCATGCAATTAGATACAACTTGTAACTTTTCTGCATCCTACAAAAAAAAAAAAAAAATCAAGTGTGCTCTTCCCATTCTAGAAAGATCTGGGAGACAAGCGTTGCTGAGTATTTTATTTCAAAAGGAGTTTCATCTACTGGGATCCTGTAACAAAAGTTTCTCAGTTGCATCACCTGTCCCATAGAACAACTTTGTCCCATGGAACAACTTGCCTTCATATATAAATGACTACTTCTCCCTAAAGAGTTTCCATAAAGAAGTACAATTTTAGCTTGGAGAAATTATTTTGAGTCCACATATGCTTAGATATCTAAGAATTTGAAATGCATACCTTTCAAGGATTTGAAACCTTGTTAATTCAATAAATCATACTATTTAGTGGAAGGATGATAAACAGATGCCGAGAATGGTGATAGGGCTGTTTCAGTATCAATTGTTTAGTAAGCTATATAGTAGATAGGTTGAAATTTGTATACTTGTAAAAGATTATTTTAGTTGTCATTGTGAATATATTGTAGTACAAATTAATTTTATCCATGTTTCATTTCTTGTAATTTTCATTGCTGTACATATTTTATTTGTTAATATTTAATTGTAGTTGAATTCCTGAGGCAAAATATTAAAAATAAAAATTGCTTCCTTGTTGCTTTAGGATCTAGCTCTGTGATGATAGTGTATATTTTGTTTTACTGTTTTCTTTTTTTTAGTGTGTTTATTTGCTGTGAACAGCTCATATTATTTTTAATAATAATAATCATAGGAAATGGCTAAAATTTCCTCCTACAGGCAAAAATAGAAGATTCTGTCTTTGATTTGTTTAAGATTGCAATTTAGTTTTAACTTTCATTCAATAACATCAAGTTCAGAAACTCAAGTCATCTGTCTTGATCCTAAAAGTTCATGAAGGAAGCCAATCTCTTAGAACTTGTTTAATCTTTGCTAAGTGATTAAAGTAGACATCATAATAAGCATTCTGATAATTAGTTAACATAAGATGAATCTGACAGCTGGAATGGATGATTCTTTGTACTTTGTTTTATCTTATTCATTTGACATAAGAAATGAAAGGCTGTTGGTGAAATAGAAAGGAAGAAAGACTTTAATCCCAATCTAACATCCAATCTAGTTTCAAACTTGTTACATGTACATATTTTCACTTTGGTTTTACCTGCCATAAATGTTGATTGAGAAGCTTCTGGTCTTTTGGCAATGTGTGTTGTTTGGAATTCATCACATGTATTAAGTGCAGGGCATGTGCCACAGTATGGACAGCATTGTAAATACTATAGCTATGCGCAGTCATCCTCATCTCAAAAACAGACTCAGAGAGCGTGTTCAGTTTCTCCTCTCCAGTGCAGGTCATCTCAGGTCTGTCATTTGAGTTTGGGTTAGACAAGGAGCATCCAAATACACTTTCCCAAAATAGCTGGAGAAAGCCATCTTCTTTTTCTGAGCTAGGTTTTCTGGTCTGAAGAAATGTTTGGAATCCCGATATCTCCTCAGAGTGAATTGCCAAAGCGAGAGCACCATGAAGAAAGTCTATATCTGTATTCCTCTGAAAAGGGAGGGATGTGAAATCCATCTGGGCCGTCAAGATCCAAACTTTACTCTCAGGCTTATTTGATCCATCATATTCTGAAAGTGCAATGAGTACTCTGAAAACTAACATTGTCTGTAGTTCTCCATGTGTGAATAAGATGTTGTAACTGCTTCGCTCAGTTATCTTATATGTTTCAACCCCCTTTTCTACAAGATTAAAGGTGTTACTAGAAAAACTGTGTTTGGGTAAGTTTTGAATGAAATCAAAGCAAATGCCATTCTGAGAAAAAAAGGGAAGGACTTTCTGCACAAACCTTTCTCCATTCTCATCTTCGACATAAATCACCCCTATCCATGTCCACCTGAAATATAGAAGTAAGTGAAGAATTCCATTGTATTGATGGATCCAGTTTGGAAACATTTGTTGAGCAAAAACTTCTTCATGTTTATTATCCATTGCTGGAGAAGAACCATACATAAGCTAAAGGAGATTTGAAAAGGAGATCAGTTTGCAAAATACACAAATATGTATGTGCACCAGAGGTGGTATTCAGCAGGTTCTGACCCATTCTGGAGAACCGGTAGTGGAAATTTTGAGTAGTTCAGAGAACCGGCAAATACCACCTCTGACTGACCCTGCTCCCATCTATATTCTCTGCCTCCCAAGTCCCAGCTGATCGGCTGGGTATTCTTTGGTTTCCCTGTACAGGACAAGGCAGCTGGAAAGTAGGTTAGTGGGGTGGGGAGGGAATGGGGATTTGACAGTATCCTTCTCCAACCCTAACCCACCAAGCCACACCCACAGAACTGGTAGTAAAAAAAAAAATTGAATACCACCACTGATGTGTGCATGTGTCTATGTGCATGTGTGTACACACACACACACACACACACACAAATTAACACAAATACAGGATACATAGAGAAATAAAACAGAAAATGGAAAAACAGTACATACTATCATGTAAATAAACAGCAAATTTACCGCATATGCACTATGAACTATTATAATATTATTGCTTATTAAAACTGAAGCAACCCATAAAATCCATCTAAATTTGATTTTAAAATGTGATGCCTGTCTCCGGTGTTTCATTATTTTAATTTTATGTGATTTTTTTTCTAATGTGACAATTAAAGAGGCCATGTTAATCCACATTTCAACTGTTATATTTTCTTGAGTTTTCCATTGTTGGGTAACTTTGATTTTAGCTGCTGAAATTAAATAGATAATATATTCATTATTTTTAAGATTGAATTTTACTCCTATAAATCAATGCAGTAAGCCTAATTTTGGGAACACTCCATTTTTATTTAGTGATGGTACATATTTCACCAAAAAAAATACACAGAGATGGGGATAGCTTTATTGCAAAAGCATCATAAAAACACCTTGCAAAAAAAATAGACAAAAGTGCACACTTGATTAGAAAAAAAATGTTAAAATAGCATATAGATTGTAAACCAGAATTATTTTTGTTAGACATAATTCCAGAAAAATATGATAAAGGGAATGTATTGCATGTTTGAACAGCAGCAAGAATTGTATTTGCACAGCATTGGAAAAGTGAGGAAAGAAGAAGATGTAATTAAAAAAATATTGAACTGTGCAGAAATGGACAGATTAACACTGAAAATAAAAGAAAAAGAAGACATAGAATATTTTCAAACTTGCGACTTGTTTTATTAATGACTGGATAAAAGAGGTAGAAATTCAAAAATTAATAAGTATTATTATGTATACAAATTGAGCCAGGCAGTATGCTGTACATTAAGCACATCTATCTATCTGTCTGTCTGTCTGTCTGTCTGTCTGTCTGTCTGTCTGTCTGTCTGTCTATCTATCTATCTATCTATCTATCTATCTATCTATCTATCTATCTATCATCTATCATTTATCTAAAATCATCTGTATTTCAGGTGTAAATAATCCTACTTGCAAAATACTGTTTTTCTATGTCAAGGTAGAACTCTGCCTTCTAGACTATCCTTCTCTTTTAGACCAATCCTTGTACTCAAAATATAAAATCAAGTTAAATATCCACTTTATAGTTAAACATCAGATAGCAAGCTTGTGTCAAAACAAAGTTTATTTAATTATGTTCTTAATGAATTCCAGAAATGTATAACTTGCTTCTTCATCTAATGTACTCAAATAAATTTACTTAAATGAACATAGTAACTGTTTTAGTTTTTAAAAATAGTAATCAAAAATTTATAGCAAAAGAAAAAGAAACTACAATGGAACTGCCAAAATGTAATCATTAGTACGTATAATAACAATGCATAATCAACAAGACAGGGGGGGAAAGGAGAAAGAGAATCATGAACACAAAAGAGTTAAAATTAAGTAGTGAAATATGATTAGTGAGAAAACAAAGTCCAAAAAAGCCCAGGGGTACCTGTGGAACCTTGTAGATACCTAGAATGGTGGCCATATGGCAGCAGACATTTGAGTCGGGTCCTCCAATGACTGCAGCTGCATTGCTTCTACTATCACATTTATAGTTTGGAATGAACTTCTTCCAGGTAGAGAGAGGTTCCATTGAAGCAAGATAAGTTGAGCTTGCACTCAAGTGACTGTTATAGATCTGGAACCCCAGAGTGATGTTTGGCAAGATGTGAGGGTTTTCATTGATTTCTTTTACCACAAATACCAGAGCCAGAATATGTTGGTAATTCTGAGCCAAAATCCTACAAAAGTGAATGTTTTATTGGGAAGAAACTAATTAAAAACAAAGAAACATCTAGAATGAAGTTTTTTTGTTTTGAACAGTACCTATTTTGATAGCCAATGTATCATTTTAAATAAAGGCAAAAAGATATATATGACAAGGGCAAGAATCAAGGACAGATAAAAGGCCCTTCAAGATGCAAAGAAATGACTTGGCATTACCTAATTTGAAGATGCATTTTTCAACTTGGTCTTTGGTTTGGATGGAAGAATTCATGCTGCTGGGAAATAAAATAATTTTAGAACTAGAAGAGCCCAATACATAGTTTGGATGGCATAGTTTTCTGTGGTTCAATGAAGTTAATGTAGTTTTGAAAACTGCTATATTAGAAGTGCCACGTTAACAATATTAATAGATCTTTATTTATAATATATAAAGGTACTCCAAATTTGTGTTTGAAATGTAGACCATTTTATCATGTATGGCAGATTTTAGAAAAATCATAACACTTTGGGTTCAAATGAATTTTAAACACAAATACATAACTGAAACCTGGACTTGTTTTGCCAGGACTATACAATTAGAAAAGGACCATGGAAGATTATCTCTGGTCCAAGACACAAAAATGAGAAGTCCCTGAAATATTTACAGTGGAGGGATGATTGGTGAAGATGACAGAATTAGCAGAGATGGCAAAATTAATTTATTTGCTTAGAAAAAGATCAATGACTACATTCATTTTTTAAAAAGGAAAAATAAACTTCCTTATGGCTTTGATGATTAGAAAGAGTATATTAAGGACAGAAGGAAATTATGATGTACAATAACCTTAGAGATAGGTTAAAATATAAATATAGTTATAACTGTTGTTAAAAAAAAATAAGAAACCACTTTGTAAATTAATTTTTCTTTCTTTCCAAATCCTTTTTATCTGTTTCTTTTCACTTTCTTATTAATTTTATCTAGTTTTCTTTTTGTCAATTCAAAATTTCTATTGTTATTATTCTGTTGAAAATGTCTTTAAGAAACATTGCATTTTTAAAAAAGAAGATTTACACTGCATCTGTTTCAGAATAGGTTAAGTGCTACAATTCTGCTTTGTAATACATTTTCCTGTATGTGTGTTTTTTAAATCTCTCCTGTATCTAATATAAAGATGCCCTTGAATCAACCTATAGTTTACTCAATTGAAATGCAGACCATTTTATCATGTTTTCTAACAACATTATAGCAGTCAAATTGTAATGCTTATTCTAGAACTTTTTTTCCTCTCTACAATTCTCATTCCAAGCAGCTTAGGTAGTTAGTCAGATCGACTATCTTAGATTTTCCATCCATGTTCAACCTCACCTAATCTATTGTGAGACTAGCCAAAGTTGATTAAGTGTGTTCCCTGAAACTACATGTATTCAAATAAAGGAAATAATGCAGTTGGTATGCCAAGAGGCACAGGGCAATATCCATGGCCGTTGGGTGCCTTCATATAGCAAGAGGCTTGTTTTGTACAAGATATGGCTGAAATGTTCGAATTTGTTCCAGAAGACAAGATAAAGTACCTAATGTTTAAATTATGAAAAAGCAAATTTTGATTACATACTAGAAATAATTTGATAATGATAAAAACTATTTCACTACAGTCCGCATCAGGAAATATTTTCATTGGAAAAATAATCTTTCCAGATTGACCATAAGGTAAACAAAAAATTTAACAGGTGGCAAGATAAAATAGCTTTATTTTTCTGGTATAATACTTATTTTAACTTGCTTTAATACTTATTTTAACTTGCTTTAGTTTTGCTTCTACCTAATTTCTTTTATCCTTTCAACTGTACATCATCCAGAGTCACTCTGAGAATAAGATGGGTAGTACCTAACTTTGACAAAAAAATAAATACATAAAAGTGATACAGATCAGATTAACCATCATTAACCTAATCCAAAAAAGATGCCATACTATAAACTATGCAAGATTACATCCTCAGAACAAAATTCTATTAATAAAATACCTCTTAAGTTCTTTTTTGAGAACTTCCTTACATGATATCATCTAAGAGATCCAGCGAAGGGGCTGTTTTAAAGGTTATTGGATGTAAAAAAACATAATACCAGCAATGTTGAGTTCCCCTTGATGGTAATATTTATGAAGAATAGGAAGAAGAATTTGGATTCCTAGCAACATTAGTACTGATATAAACACAATTATCAAGCAGCATTAAAATCTTCTTCTGGAAAGTCTTTCAGCCAGCTTTGTTGGGGTAGTCAAAGAGATTTCAGTATCATAAAAGTTGGATAATTACTCTCTTACTAAAAAGGTTGATGCAAAAGTTGGGTGTGCCAAATGTCAAGAACATGTTTATCTTGCTTGCTGTTCCACCTCTAAATGGCAGAGGCTGGTTATTATTATAACACTTTGGTCTTAATAGTTTTGCTGTAGCCCAAGGACACCCTTTAATGAAATAATGAAAAGATTATGATAATCTTGATAATTGTAGGATCGATTAAATTGACAATTATTTAGAACTGCCAGTGTTTTGTTGACTCTAGATGAAATTAGAACTAGCTTCCTGTTTGAACTGAGGTGGTAACGGCCTAATGAATTCAATATGATGGCAGTTAATTGCAATGAATCCAGTACATTATAATATAGACCACATTGGATCCATATTTAATGTTCAATATCAGAATTAGAATAGAACTGGAAGAGACCTTGGAGGCCTTCTTGTCCAGTCCCCTGCTCAAGCAGGGGATCTTATACCATTTCAGACAAGTGATTGTCCAATCTTGTCTTAAAACCTCCAGTGAAAGGCAAGCTGTTCCATCAGTTAATTGTCCTCACTGTTAGGAAGTTTCTTCTCAATTCCAAGTTGCTTCTCTCCTTGATTAGTTTCCATCCATTGTTGTCCTGCCCTCTAGTGCTTTGGAAAATAAATTGACCCTCTCCTCTTTGTGGCAGCCTCTCAAATACTGGAATATCATGTCACCTCTAGTCCTTTTTTTCTCTAGGTTAGCCAAACCCAAATCCTCTAACCATTCTTCATATGCTTTAGCCTCCAGGACATCTTCTCTTCTCTTCTCTTCTCTTCTCTTCTCTTCTCTTCTCTTCTCTTCTCTTCTCTTCTCTTCTCTTCTCTTCTCTTCTCTTCTCTT